ACTTGCACGTCACCCCCCTAGTACCACTCCTTCGGCTCCCACACACCCACCCCCCTCAGCGGCAGCTGCAGCACTGGGAGACGGAGGAGGAGGAGGAGTAGGGGACGACGCACAGAAACTGCACCCCCATACCCCCCACCCCCAAACCCTAATTCAGGAGAACGGGCAGCAGCAGGGGTGGGGCGCCGTCAGAAGCACGGGGGACAGCGGGCAGCGCAGGGGCAGAGAAAACAGGGCGCCCACGGGCCTGGCGCAGCCCGTACGAACCGCGTGCGGGCGGCCCGAGGCGCACCCTGGCCTGGCGCAGTCCGTACGGGCCGCGCGCGGGCCTGGCGCTGCCCGTACGGGCCGCGCGCGGGCCCTACGCAGGTCGCGCAGGCCGCGACGGGCGACGGGGGGCGACGCGCGGGTCCCCGTCGCCCGTCGCAGCGCCTCCCGGGAGCGACGCGCGGAGTGACGGGGCAGAAAGCCGCCGCGCGCCTCGGGGCGCACGGCGGGCAGAAAACCGCCGCGCGCCTCGGGGCGCACGGCGGGCAGAAAACCGCCGCGCGCCTCGGGGCGCACGGCGGGCAGAAAACCGCCGCACGCTCCGAGCGCGCGGCGGGATGAAAAATCCGTCGCACGCCACGGGGCGTGCAACACACAGAGTAGCAGTAGCAGCGGAAGCAGTGAGGTGGTGGGCCCACCCACAGGATCGACCCAAGGGGATCGACCTGCTCTGATAGCATGTCAGAACTAGCAGTAGAAAGTAAGAATGAAGAAAGGAGGAGGTTCACTAGCAAGCAGTTGAGTACATATAGGAAACCCTAGATTGGGCTGTACTCGCTATAGAGTACCCCACTGCAGGCTAGACAAATACAACATTCTGACAGGAGGTACTAGAGGTGCTGTCGCGATATATATTTATATATGTTTATAACTGCCTGTAGCTTTAGCTCTAGTGTAGTTATGTTTCCTTGTTGGTGGTGCACCTTTGCTAGTTTGCTATATGTACCTTGTGTGCTATAGTGAACAACACACATTCTCACTTTCTCTTGGCCACGATTCTCTCGACACCCGCTTGGCCTAGGCTTCTAAGCCTAGGCCCTAAACCCGGTTCCTAGTTAACTTAGTATTGTGACAGGTGCTACTGGTGCTGGAGGTACTGGAGCTGCTGTGCCTGGAGGTACTACTGGAGGTACTAGAGGTGCTACTGGTGCTGGAGGGGCTGCTGGTGCTGGAGGTACTGGAGCTGCTGCTGGTGCTGGAGGTACTGGAGCTGCTAGTACTGGAGGTACTGGAGCTGGAGGTACTGGAGCTGCTGGTGCTGGAGGTACTGCTGGTACTGGAGGTGCTGGGGGTACAGGAGCTGCTGGCACTGGAGGTGCTGGTGCTCCTGGTGCTGGAGCTGCGGGAGCTGCTGGTCCTGGAGGTGCTCGTACTAGAGGTACTGGAGCTGCCGGAGCTGGTGGTGTCAAACTATAATTGTTATGGTTTGTATTTGCTAGTCTAGGTGGTGTACACTTATGATTAGGGTTGGCTAGGGTTGACCAGGGTTTGCTATATCTTCCTTGTCCTTGTCATTTCTAGTCATTCATTATTCCGTTACCTCGTTGACATGGTATAGAGCAGTTCGATTCCCATGGGCCCACCGCCCCGCGCTCGTCCGTTAGTAACGCGTTACCCGTAGTGCCCCGTCACCCCTTAGCGCCAGCCCCCCCCCCCGTCGAATCGCGCGCTAGAGAGAGACCCCCGCGGCCCCCCCACGTCACGTCCTAGGAAGGCCCCCACAAACCCCCGAATCGCGAGTTAGAAGGACCCCCGTGGGTCCCCCACGTTGCGACCTAGGAAGGCCCCCGCGGGCCCCCCGAATCGCGATCTAGAAGGACCCCCACGGGTCCCCCCACGTCGCGACCTAGGAAGGCCCCCGCGGGCCCCCGAATCGCGACCTAAGAAGGACCCCCGCGGGTCCCCCCACGTCGCGACCTAGAAAGGCCCCCGCGGGCCCCCGAATCACGACCTAAGAAGGACCCCCGCGGGTCCCCCCACGTCGCGACCTAGAAAGGCCCCCGCGGGCCCCCGAATCGCTCGCGTTCCTCCCCCCCCCCCGTAGCCCGTCGCCCCGCAGGCCTCCCCGTTGCGTCCCTTCCCCGTCGCCTCCCCGTCGCGCCCCTTCCCCGTCGCCTCCCCGTCGCGTCCCCTCTTCGTCGCCTCCCCTTCCCCTACCCGTCGCATCCCCTCTTCGTCGCCTCCCCTTCCCCTACCCGTCGCGTCCCCTCCCCGCCTCCCTGCAATCCGCCAGCTACGTACGCCAGCCCCGTCGCGCCCCCGTACGCCAGCCCCGTCGCATACCAGTCCGTCAGCCCCGTCCGACAGCCCCGTCACGTCCCCTCCCCGTACGCCCTGCAGTCCGCCAACTTCGCCTGCCACCAGCCCTCCAGAACAGCCCAGGAACGTCCAGAACCGCCCAGGACCGTCTAGAACCGTCCAGAACCGCCCAGGACCGTCCAGAACTGCCCAGGACCGTCCAGAACCGTCAAGAACCGCCCACGACCGTCCAGAACCGTCCAGAACCGCCCAGGACAGTCCAGGACCGCCCAGAACCGCCCAGGACTGCCCAGGACCGTCCAGAACCGTCCAGAACCGCCTAGGACCGTCCAGGACCGCCCAGAATCGCCCAGGACAGTCCAGGACCGCCTAGAACCGCCTGGGACCGCCAGGACCGTCCAGAACCGTCCAAAACCGCCCAGGACCGTCCAAGACCGCCCATAACCGCCCAGAACCGCCCAGGACCGCCCAGGACCGTCCAGAACTGTCTAGAACCGCCTAGGACCGTCCAGAACCGCCCAGAACCGCCCAGAACCGTTCCCCAACGCCAGAACCAGCAGCAGCATAGGCTGCCCCCAGCAGAACCAGTAGCAGCATAGGCTGCCCCCAGCAGACTCAGCAGCAGCATAGGCTGTAGCTAGCAGCCGCTCCCCACCGCGCTCGGCCGTCTCTAGCGCCTACCATGGCGAGTGCTAGAGTTCTGCAGCAGCAGCAGCAGCAGGGTCAGCCGCAGCGTCAGCAGCTACATCACTCCCGGCAGTGGGGACCTGAGGGTCCCAGGAGTACCGACCGCAGCAGCGGCTCAGCCAGTAGTGGGCGCGACGTCGGCCCCTGCGGGTACCGGATCCTGACTGGCCCGGATGCTGGCACCACCTGCTGGAGTCCTGACCACTCTGCGTCCCGCTGCTACCGTCGCCTCGACGACCTCCACCGTGAGCGTTTTGGTCCTCATGCTATTACACCGCACTGGCCCTCGCGTCTTCGCCAGCGCACTGCTGCACCAGTTGAGCCTCACCGACCTGGTCTAGGACCGTTCCCGGCTGCACGAGTAGAGACCTGTGTTTCCAGTCTTGGTGCGTGTGTTGTTTCCAGTCCAGGCGCCTCTGAGGGTCTTTGTGTAGGAGCTGCAGCTACCACTAGTCTAGCACCAGCCTTTGTCGCTGGCTCGGGTGCGACCTCACAGACTGCACAGCTTTCCTTCACCCTAGACTCTGGAGCGTCCAGTTGTTTCTTTCGCGACTGCACCGACCTCACGCCATTGCACACTCCAGTCACTGTCGCCTTGGCTGACCCCTCTGTGGGACCTGTAGTTGCCCACAGCACCACCACTCTCCCGTGTCCGGTAGCTCCCTCTGGGTTTCTCACATGTTACTATACCCCCTCGTTCTCCAGGAACTTGGTGGGTGTCAGTCACCTCCACGACCTTGGTGTAGTCACTACTTTTCCCCTGGACGAGCCTGTTGCCTCCTGCACAGTCGGTGCCACTGGAGCACCTCTGGCCACTTTCCACAGGGAGCCGGGCTCTGGTCTGTACTCTCTACACACTCAGTCCCACCACACTGGGTCAGGTCAGGTCAGGTCAGGTCAGGTCAGGTCAGGCTGCTATGTCGTGCGACTGTCGGTCACTCACCCACCCGTCGGTCCTCTGGCACCACCGTCTAGGTCACCCGTCCTTCCAGCGTCTCAGTAGGATGGTACGTCACCATCTGGTCTCTGGTCTCGCAGCGTCGCTCGCCCCGCTTCCCCACTCCCCATGCGCCGCCGTGCACTCCTTGCGTCGAGGGTTGGCAACGCGCTGCCCCTCACTCCTCCTCGTTCCTCCCTACCACCACTCCCTTACAGACCCTCCACTTGGACGTCTCAGGCCCGTCCCCGATCCTTGGCCCACGTCAGGAGCGCTACTTCCTGATTGTGGTGGACGACTACTCCCGCTACTGTAGTGCATGTGGCAGGGGAGAAAAGATTATGGAGAGGTGAGGAGCAGATAGGAAAGGAAGCAGAAACTGAACATGTGCAATATCCAGACGTGCATGCATGCATGCCCATCTGATTGCATACATGCATGCCCACCTTATAGCATACATGCATGCCCACCTGATTGCATACATGCATGCCCACCTTATAGCATACATGCATGCCCACCTGATTGCATACATGCATGCCCACCTGATTGCATACATGCATGCCCACCTGATTGCATACATGCATGCCCATCTGAATGCATACATGCATGCCCATCTGAATGCATACATGCATGCCCATCTGAATGCATACATGCATGCCCATCTGAATGCATACATGCATGCCCATCTGAATGCATACATGCATGCCCACCTGATTGCATACATGCATGCTCACCTGATTGCATACATGCATGCCCATCTGAATTCATACATGCATGCCCATCTGAATGCATACATGCATGCCCACCTGATTGCATACATGCATGCCCATCTGAATGCATACATGCATGCCCATCTGAATGCATACATGCATGCCCATCTGAATGCATACATGCATGCCCATCTGAATGCATGCATGCATGCCCATCTGAATGCATGCATGCATGCCCATCTGAATGCATACATGCATGCCCATCTGAATGCATGCATGCATGTCGCAGCACACTCACATCCACACACATCCATTCGCACTCTCGTCCCCCTCCCTCTCCCTCTACCTTTCGCAGGGTCTCACCTGCAGACACGTGTCACACTCTCATTGGCTCCACAGAACGAAGCACACTGCCCCTCCGAGCGCTGCCTCGCCAGCCAGCACGCCGAACCAGCTCTCAGGTTCGGCCCGAAGCTGTCTCTCAGCTTCGCACCAAAGCTGGACCTCAGGTTCGGAGGCACAGGGCAGGATGGCAGCTGCAGGCAATTCCCATGCAGTCGGGCAGTTGCATTTTTAGGCAGCCAATCCGAAGACCCGGGCAGGCTGCCCGAGAAAAAGTTGTTGGAGAGATCGAGGGAGAGGAGGGAGGCAGGGAGGTGGGAGGGCAGGGGCCCTGAGAGGAAGTTGCGAGAGGTATTGAGGAGTGTGAGGCGGTGCAGGGAGGTGGAGAGGTCGGGGAGGGAAGCCACGAGGTGGTTTCGACTCAGGTCGAGTTCCTGGTTGGGAGAGACCGGGGGGGAAAGAGGTTCCTGGATTCACTAATGTTCTACGAGATGGCTTTGGCTGCTGCTAAGTTCCTGACTGGAAAGGATAACAAAAACGAAAGGGTCTAGACGTCTACAAACTTTAGAAGAATGGGTGGAGACGTGTATAAACTTGAGAGTGTGGGTTCTCAGGAACATGTATGTCGTACCTGGAGGCGAGTCAGGGCTGTGAACGTGGCAGGTACAGTGCCAGAGAGGCGGTTACCAGCGAGCCGTAACACCCTGAGGCCAGTGGCTATGCCCAGCTCAGTGGGGATGGCGCTGGTGAATGCATTGTCGTTGAGGAGGAAACGAGTGAGCTGAGCAAGAAAGAAGGGATGTGGGGGGGGTGGTGAAGGGAAGGGGGTTGGTGAAGGGAACGGAAGGGGTTGGTGAGGCAGTGCAGAGCTGTCACACCCTCAGCATGAGCGGCTATGCCCGGCTCAGAGGGGATGGTGCCGGTGAATGCATTGTCATTGAGGAGGAAATAGGTGAGCTGCAAAGCAGGAGGAAGAGAGGAGAGTGGTGAGAAAGGGGGGAACTGCAGGGCACCAACCAGGAAGGCTTGACTTTGGAAGGCATGTGAACCAGGGACATGTGGGGTGGGTTTTGAGCCGTCTCAAAGGACATGTGGGGTGGTTGATGGGAATCGGGTGGCTGACAGGAAGGGGATGGGACGAGGATTGGGGGATTGAAAGAACCAGCCTGGTACGGGTACCACGATTACCTGATTGAGGATTGAGGGACTTGGTGCCACAGACCTGGGGGACTAGCTAGCAGGCAGAAAACAACAACCCACCTGGTACAGAGTGCTGAAGGAAAGAGGGATGTGGTGACATTTGGGTCACCTCTAAAATCCCTCAAGTACATGGTATGTGGTGGGAATGGTAACACCGACCTGGTACAGTGTGCCGAAGGAAGGAGGAATGCGGCCCGACAAATGGTTGTGCGACACGTCAACCACGTACGACTGCACCAGCCTGCCCAGGCTGCCCGGCAGCCTGCCCGAAAAGGAATTGTTGGCGAGGATGAGACCCGAGTCGAGAATGGAGAAGATGGGCGACGCCAGGGGGGTGGCTAGGTGGGGGCTGATGGGGCCGGAGAAGTTGTTGCTGTGGGCTGCATGGCGTGAAGGGTAAAGGATCAGAGGGGAAGAGCGGAGGAGAATGGTATGAGGAGGGACGACACAGGCATGGCCAGGTGAGGTCTGATGGTGCTGTGTGGCGGAGGTGGGGACAAGTTGTTGCTGTGGGCTGTGTGTGTGGCATGGCAAGACGAGGGAGGAAAAGGGACAGAGGATAAGGCATGTGGGACGGACGGATTTTGAGAGTCAGAGGGAATGCAAGTGGAGTGAGTGCTTGGCAGACGGTGGGACAAAAGAGTTTACTTTTGAGTCAACTCAAAAGTCAACTTAAAAGTCAACTTGCAAGTGGAGTGAGTGCTTGGCAGACGGTGGGACAAAAGAGTTTACTTTTGAGTCAACTCAAAAGTCAACTTAAAAGTCAACTTGCAAGTGGAGTGAGTGCTTGGCAGACGGTGGGACAAAAGACGGAGAGGGGTGGGATGAGAGATGGTTGGGATGTGCCATGGGGTAAGAAATCCAAGCCAGCTCAGAGCATCCAAGCCAGCTCAGAGCATCCAAGCCAGCTCAGAGCATGAAAGATGAAAGGCATGGGGTTTATTATCTTATGTTAGGCATGAAAGATGCCTATCAGCTCAGCATGTACTCACCTGCGAAACATCCCAGCCGTCCAGAGGGCAAGAAGAATGGATCCAACGGCCCATCCAAGCCGTTGAAATCGAGGAGCAGATCGGAGTTGCCGACAAGAGCAGAGACGTCGGGGAGCGGCCCCTGGAGGTTGGTGATGCCTATGGGCGTGTACCCACCTGAGAAGAATCCTAGCCGTCCAGATGGCAAGTACATGGGATTCAACGGCCCATCGAGGCCGTTGAAATCGAGGAGCAGATCGGAGACGCCGACGAGAGCGGAGAGGTCGGGAAGGGGACCCCGGAGGTTGGTGGCGGAGAGATCGAGGACGAGAACGAGGGAGGTGAGGCGAGGGATGGACGGGGGCAGGGGCGCTGGTGTGAAGGGGTTGAAGGCCAGCTGGAGTGTTGCTAGCTGGTGGACACCCGAGGGGAAGGGGAGGAACAGGGGAAGAGCGGGAGTGAGGGCAGTGAGGGGAAGAACAGCGGAAAGGAAGGAGGAGTGATGCGTGGGGAGAGAGATGTGGGGAGAGAGATGTGGGGAGAGAGATGTGGGGAGAGAGATGTGGGGAGAGAGATGTGGGGAGAGAGATGTGAGGAGAGAGATGGTGGGAGTGATGCGTGGGGAGGAGTGAGACGTGGGTTGGCAAGGGTTCGATCCAGTATCGGTGGCATGGCAGGTAGCACACCCACCTGCTTCAGCTGGTCGAGGGGCGGAATGGCGCCTGACAGCTGGTTGCTGTGCAGGCCGAGATGCAGCAGGCGAGTGAGGCGCGCAGTGAGGGCAGCAGGGATGGCGCCTGAGGAGCAGAGGAGAGAGAGGGGAGCAAAGGAGAGAGAGGGGAGCAGAGGAGAGAGAGGGGAGCAAAGGAGAGAGAGGGGAGCAGAGGAGAGAGAGGGGAGCAGAGGAGAGAGAGGGGAGCAGAGGAGAGAGAGGGGAGCAGAGGAGAGAGAGGGGAGCAGAGGAGAGAGAGGGGAGCAAAGGAGAGAGAGGGGAGCAGAGGAGAGAGAGGGGAGCAGAGGAGAGAGAGGGGAGCAGAGGAGAGAGAGGGGAGCAGAGGAGAGAGAGGGGAGCAGAGAAGAGAGAGGGGAGCAGAGGAGAGAGAGGGGAGCAGAGGAGAGAGAGGGGAGCGGAGGGGAGAGAAGGGAGCGGAGGACACGAGGGGGAAGGAACTTGGGTTCATAAGGTCTCATGAGATGAGAGCTGGTTTCTGTGCAGGCCCAGGTGCAGCAGACGAGTGAGGCGAGATGTGAGGGCGGGCAGGAATGGCGCCTGAGGAGCAGCGGGGAAGGAAGGAAATCGGGAACAGCGGGGTGAGGATGAGGGATTGAGATGGTCCCATTCTGTGAGAGATGACTGCCCAGCAGACCATTCGCAAGTGTGGCGAGAAGTGAGGCCTGAAGAGCACCGGACACAGAGGGGAATGAGGAACACACGGATGTGGGTCAGCAGCAGGCAGTCTCATTTTCAAGGGAGGGACACTGGCAGGCAGTCTCACAAGACAAGGAGTTGAATGAGAGATTCGCCAACCCTGTTGGTACCTTTCCTTCCCCTGAAGCATCTATAATCAAGCAGTGTAAAAGCACAAGGAGAACAATGCAACAATGCAACAAGGCAACAAGGCAACAAGGCAGTCTCACCGGAGAGGGAGTTGAATGAGAGATCGAGGGTGCGCAGGGTGGTCACATTCGCCAGCCCTGCCGGAATCCCTCCTGTGAGGCCACACCACCTTTGCGCACGCGGAGCACGGAAAGTAAGCCCTCCGCTCAGAATTGGGCCAGAGGCAAAAGCAGCGGCAGGAGCAGAGGCAGAGGGTGAGGCAGTGGCAGGGGCAACGGCAGGGGCAGGGGCAGAGGCGGGGGCACAGGAAGGGGGAGAGAGCGAGGCAGGGGCAGGGGAAGGGGCAGGGGCGGGGGCGGGGCGGTTGCGGTCGAGGAAGAGGAACTCTAGAGGCAGGTGAGAGAAGTCTGGCAGCGGGCCGTAAAGAAGGTTCTTGGAAACGTCCAGGTAGGTGAGGTGCAGGAGGCGGGAGAAGGTTTTGGGCAGGTGGCAGTGAAAGGCGTTGCTCTGCAGGGAGGTGGGAGAGGGGAGGGGGGCCGGGGGGGGGAGAAGGGGAAGAGACGTAGTAAATTTGAGAAGGGCCTGGTGGTGGATGGGAAGAAGAGGAAGCACAGGACCGGATTCGTTTCATGTGAACGGAGTGAGATACACAAAGGAGGGCATCATTGCTTCGCGTGCAGGCCTTTTGAGATTCCTCAAAGAGATGCAGTATGCTACCTGCACAGTCCCCCGCCCATCAAGGCATCTACACACCTCCAGGTCAATGAATTCAAGGCGAGTCAGCAGCGCGATGGCTCTCAGAGACGAGCCATGCAGCCCCTGAGAATAGAGTCCGAGGCTGGTGGTGCAGAGACAGACGGACAGATACGCCGTCATAGGGTAAGCCTAAGAAACCCATGAAACAACAACGGAGAGGGGGATGAAGTAGGAGAGAGCGAAGGGAATGGGGGAGGTCGGAGAAGTGCAGGGTGAGGGTGGAAAGTGGGGGAAAGGGAGAGAGAAAGCCAGGACTAACCCAGTGACACGTGAAGCCAGGACTAACCCAGCAGAGCATGGTTGGTGGCACGGCATGGCAGGGAAGCACCTGACAGTTGTTGCAGGTTGACCAGGTTGGACAGCCCTCCCGGCAGATAGCCCGCCAGGTTGTTGTACAGAATTAATCTGCATGCGCCCACGTGCACAGGGTGGGGGGCAAGAAAGAAGGGAGGAGGCATTGGGATTGGCTGTCAAGCAGCAGCCTTGTCCGCCCACTGCTCGTGCACAGAGTTACAAGGGATGCCACTCTACGCCACTTACCCGCGCCTTGCTTCCGACCACCGCCATGTGCACTTGGTTTCCCGCACTGCAATTCCTCCACACACCCTTTCAACGCTAGGGCCATACTGCTTTGGCGGGCGCTAAACATGCGGTTCAGCTTGGCAGCCGTGCAAGCATGCACGCACCGCCATGGGCACGCAGCCCTCGCATACTACAGGGGCTCATGCAGCTGAGCCAGCAGCACTCACAGCGCGCATAGCAATAGCAGAAAAGGAATTTGGGACGTACAGCTGAGTGAGGCCCGTGGCGGACTTTCGTGTCCGTGTTCAGGTTCCTGCAGGGAGAGGGAGCAGCGTTGACGCAAGTGAGTGCGAGAGGGACGAGGGGGGCAGTGACGCGATGGCAGGGTGGTTGAGCAGGTGATGGGTGGGGCGGCGAGTGGGGCCGGGCCGTGCAGTCCTGGGAAGGAGTCTTGGCATGGGTCAGAGTTGGTCGAGGGGAACCAGCCCGGCACTCCAGGCACCTTCTTTCCTTCCCTGCCAGCGATCACTCTGCTGCCGTTTCTGCTGTTTTTGCTGTTGCCACTACTGCTGCTGTTGCCGCTGGTGCTGTTGGCACGGCTGCTGCTAGCGATGGTGTAGACAAGTGAGTGGAAGCGCTGAAGAGCCGCCACGTCAGACGGGTGTGTGGCTGCTGCCAGTTGGTAGACAGTGATGACGTGGCAGAGGTACAAGTTTGGAAATTCGTATCGGTCACGAACAGTGAGTCAATTGAAACAGCATAAACAGACGCATAGACAGACAACACTTCGTCATTCATGGGAAGCACAAATACAAGAGGCAACTAGGACTCTCTCAAACGCAACTGAGAAACAGTAACAGTTACATAACAGTACGAAACAGAAGCCCGGAATGGAAAAGGGTGTGCTCAGACGTGGATGCCTGTGCTAATCCGCCGCCGGTGAACGTTTTTGAGGCGCCTCAAAACATGCCTCCTGAGGCGCTGAGGCGCCTCAGAAGATGCCTGTGATAATCCGCCGTCTCAACCGACATCCTGACTTTTGAGTCGACTCAAAAGACATCCTGACTTTTGAGTCGACTCAAAAGGCGCTGAGGCGCCTCAGAAGATGCCTGTGATGATCCGCCGTCTCAACCGACATCCATTTACAGAGTAGAGAACAATAATTTTGGGCAGATGGCAGAGGCCACGAGCATGACTATCGAAACCACCACCAGAACAGCTTGAACAGCGCACTGAGCTTCAGCTATCAATTCAGACGCGGGACGCCTGTGACATTTCGATTCCCAATCTCGTGCCGGAAAATGGTTACCTTGGCACGAGGTTGCAAGCACGGCTACTATGGCCACCACTAGAACGGTGTGAGCAGCTTGAGCCGCGCTCCGAGCTTGATTCATCTGCTGCTTCCAGCGAATGCCTCCTTCAAGCGAGACCGAGCGTGAATCCGAGCCCGAAGCACTGAGCGTTTGAGATTTTCCATAACCACGAGCTGCTTCGTCGATCAGTATCTGACCGTGCGTCTGACGTGATGCAACGGAATCCGTCAAATCATTCGACGGAGCATCAACATCCCTTGCCGCACGACTTTCCTGACCTTCACCTTCACAGCCTTCCGAGTAGATACATGACAGCGGAGCGTAATAATTTGTCATTCTGGAATACCTCTCGCCGCACCCTGATGCGAGCAGCTTCAGTACAGAAGTGGCTAATCTGATTCAACAACACGGCTTTCTCGAAAGGGAAAATAGGTCTCAGATCGTTTCTTCGAACTGCAACGGTTGTGTCGACAACACCAGCTTCCAAGAGCAGAGCTGCATCGGCTTTTCGCCAGTCGAATACAGGCAGTAGCGGGTGCCAAGCCGTAAGCCGTACAGGAACCTACATTTTTCTGTGATGAATCTGACAAGCTTAAAATCGGGCGGCTGTCAGGAATCGACGCCGACATTTTTCCCCGACAGCCGCAGAACGGGAATAAGGATGGCGGTGGTGTGAGCGCCATGGCCGGCGCACACGCACTGCTCGCAACGAGCGGCTGAGGCCTGTAAAAGGTGAGGAAAAGGGACTTCGTGTCCCAGCGCAGCAAATGCGCGAGCCTGGCAGCTGAGTCGAGGCGGTGGGACTCAAACTACTGCTCAGCGTCCTTGGGATTACCGCGGCGCGAGCAAGTAACCAGCAGGTTTCGGCCGAGAAGAGATGGAGATGAAACATCCGCGTTGAGGTTATACCCGTCTAGCTGGTAAGCCTACAATGTACGTTGTAGTCCAAATCTTGTACAACATCTTCACCAGAAACTATTCCATTCCATCCTCACACCTTATTTAAAACCGAAATGCAAAATAGTGAACCCAACGCCAACTTGAAAGAGGGCTTGCCGTGCGAAACAATTTTGGAACCAAACCGACAAGTTTCCAGTGTTTCATTGAGAGCGTTTTTTGCAGATCGAACACATCTGATTGGTTCCCGCCAAAACCAAAAAAAAGAACACAGCACGTCAGGCGTCGCATATCAGTTTTGGAAGCTGCACAACACTAGCATTGCGATCGCTCATGCACGTCCTTGCGATTTTGGGCCCAGCTTGGGGTTCAAGTTGGGTCTGGGTGAACAACTACTAGTTCTTCCGATCATACATCTCAGCTTCTTAGTTATGTGTAGCATGTCTAGCCATCGAACCGTCAACTTAGGCCGTTGTTGTTTCAATTTAGACGCGTAGTGAAGCTGGCATGGTTGTGTAGTACTTTGTGCCGTTTCGAATGCCCTCTCGCCGCCTTCCTATCTCATCTCGCTCGCCCTCCCGTTCCGATCGACCGTCCTGACGCCGTCCCATCGACCATCCTGACGCCGTCCCATCGACCGTCGCGTCGCGATCATGTCGTCCGTCCCGTCGACGTCCCGTCGCCCTCCTACCGTCATCTCCATTACCCCTCTCCTCCAATCACCCTCGCGATTTTCCCGTCGCAAATCTCTCTCTCGCCGCTCCCTTTCCTGAACCAATCGCCTTCTCCTCTCCCTTCTCGTCGCTCTCTCTCTCGCCGCTCCCTTTCCGTTGCAATCGCCTTCTCCCATCCCTTCCCGTCGCTCTATCTCTCTCCCCTCCCTTCCCGTCGCTCTATCTCTCTCCCCTCCCTTCCCGTCGCTCTATCTCTCTCCCCTCCCATCCCGTTGCTCTTGCTCTCTCCCCTCCCTTCCCGTCGCTCTCTCTCTCGCCGCTCCCTTCCTGTCGCGCTCTCTCTCTCGCTGCTCCCTGCGCGTCGCTCTCTCTCTCGCCGCTCCCTTTCCTGAACAAATCGCCTTCTCCTCTCCCTTCCCGTCGCTCTCTCTCTCTCTCGCCGCTCCCTTTCCGTTGCAATCGCCTTCTCCCATCCCTTTCCGTCGCTCTATCTCTCTCCCCTCCCATCCCGTCGCTCTATCTCTCTCCCCTCCCATCCCGTCGCTCTTGCTCTCTCCCCTCCCTTCCCGTCGCTCTCTCTCTCTCGCCGCTCCCTTCCCGTCGCGCTCTCTCTCTCGCTGCTCCCTGCGCGTCGCTCTCTCTCTCTCTCTCGCCGCTCCCTTTCCTCAACAAATCGCCTTCTCCTCTCCCTTCCCGTCGCTCTCTCTCTCTCGCCGCTCCCTTTCCGTTGCAATCGCCTTCTCCCATCCCTTTCCGTCGCTCTATCTCTCTCCCCTCCCATCCCGTCGCTCTATCTCTCTCCCCTCCCATCCCATCGCTCTATCTCTCTCCCCTCCCTTCCCGTCGCTCTATCTCTCTCCCCTCCCTTCCCGTCGCTCTATCTCTCTCCCCTCCCTTTCCGTCGCTCTATCTCTCTACCCTCCCATCCCGTCGTTCCTCCGCTCTACCCTCCCATACCGTCTTTCTTCCTCTCTCCCCTCCCATCCCGTCGTTCCTCCTCTCTTCCTTCCTATCCCGTCGTTTTTCCCTTCTCCCCTCCCATCCCGTCGTTCCCCCTCTCTCCCCTCCTCTCCCGTCAGCCCCCTTGTCCCCAGTCCCTTCTCTTCGCCGTCGACCAATCAACCGTCCCGTCGCCCGAGATTGATGGGGTCGTTGTCAAACTATATTCATAATTGTGTTAGGTTGTTAGGCTGCATCGATGTACATTGTAGAGGGTACAATACTTTAGGGTTCCTAGTTGTATCTCGTGCTACCTATTTAACCCATCATTCCGCTACATATTTTTCTGAGATGGTATCAGATGGTTAGTCCTAGGCCACCTATGTCGTAGACTGCCGTCCAACGTGCCAGCCGTTTAGCCAGCCAGCCGTTTAGCCAGCGAGCCAGTCGTCCGATCAGCCAGTCAGCTAGCCGTTTAGTCAGCCAGCCGTCTAGCCAGCCAGCCAGCCAGCCGTTCAGCCAGCCAGGGCTTAGGCCGCCCGTCGCCCCGTGCAGCCCGTCGTGCCTTAGGTCGCCCGTCGCGCTTAGCAGCAGCGCGCGCCACGGCAGGGCGCGTAACATCAGCGCGCTCCGCCAGCATAGCGTGCCCCTGTAGAGCGCATCGGAGCAGCGCGTGCCACAGCAGGGCGCCTAAAGGCAGCGCGCCCCACAGCAGGGCGCGTATCACTAGCGTGCATTGTAGCCCGCGCCATCGCGCACACCAGCACGCACCCGC